GGTATTATATGTTGCTATATCACCTATATGCATTATGAATATTTTTTTAGACCTGGATAAATTTGCTTTGATGTAACAGCCATAAAATTTGAAAGTTTTTAAAGTAAATGGGTGCTTTCCACTCATCCCACGTGTTTCTCCTTTTCACAGTCTGGCAGAAATTATGAATGGTTCCAAAATACAAGGTCACATGACAGCAAAAGTGTACAGTTGCCAAGATACAGGGGGTGGGTCAACTTACCTACTAGCTCAACTTACCCCACTCTCCCCTAATCAGGGCCGGAGTGGGACTCATTTTCAGCCCTGGAGTTTCATGCCTTAGACCACTTATTTATTTATTTATTTTTTTACTGGCCTTTTCAGTGCCGCCTTTGCGCTTTCTATTATCCATTTTTCATCTATATACTAGCATATCTCCAACAGCTGAGGTTTTTTTTTTGTTTTGTTTTTTTAAACAAGGTGAGTCAAAAGATAATTACGTCATCATTAGGGTTGCCAATTAACTTCAGAAATAGAAAATAAGGGACAATTGTGATTCTTTATCTTTTATTCTTTAAGAAAATAGTGTTTATTCTTGTATTCTTGTAGAAAATAAGTGTTTGTTCTTTAAGAAAATAAGGGACAGAATAAGGGATGCTCCAAGTATTTGTACTGTACCATAATGTATGTCTGCCTGCAGTCAAATAGTTCTCAGAAATAATCACAATTGTTTTGCTTAACCTATTTATGTGCAATTATTCTAAAAAGAATTGTAATGTCATACAAAAAATGTAATCGACCTGAGTAAATTGTACCAATATAGAATTGTGACTTCACAAGTGTTGTAATTAGGAGGTGAAAATACTGTGAAATTACAAATGGCATGAAATTTGAAAGCGTAACAACTGAAGGTCTATGAAACGTCAGTCAATAAAGCATTTTAAACAATGTCATTTAAAGTTTTGAACTAAAAAAATTATTGCAACCATATAGCCTTTGAATGAATGAAAATGCATATTTTTCAATTAAAGAAAACTTAGAGAGTGTGGGCTGCTTCTGGTGCTTGAATTTGTAGCCTACTTCAACAACGAATGCGGCTTTACGTAGCTCAACGGCTCTAGCCCAAGCTGTGATATAAACTAACACTATTGGCTATTTTAAAAAGGGGCGGGGCTGCTTGATATGTCCCGCCCTGTCTTCCTGTTTCAGTTAAAATAACGTCAACACATAGAGTAACGCTGCGTGTTTCTAAGCATTTCAGGGGACCTTTAACTGCATTACAATGAAAGACGTCTTCCCTCAGGTAGATTGAATGTTGGGCTCATGATCAATACGTTGTTTGCATTTGCCCAAACTGAATCAAAACGCGGACGGTGAAGGGAACTGCCGTCAGCGCGAGACCCGCTCGCTGTGAAGCGGGAGCCGGCAGAGGATTCCGCTTGGTCTTAAAGCCTTCCTCAAACGGTTACTTCACAAATAAAACAATGATTTGAGCAAAAAGAATGATTAATTATCAATTGAGAATTTGTTATTGATATGGTCTGGTGAAAATAATAATATGGGATGCGAGAAAATTATAAATAAAAAGAGTGGGGCTGCTATGAGTGCAGGCAGTCTAGGGTCAGCATCACTGATCTATATATAATGTCTATTATAGATCAGTGGACAGCATCCATATTTCAACCCCAGTGGCATGACAACACCGCGGCCCTCGCGGCCAAAAAATGGACCGGCCCGCCGGGAATCCTCCCGGTGCTCCCGATTAGCCAATCTGGGCCTGGTGTATATAACGTTCCCTTTCATGGGAACTTCGAACTGCGTCCTCTAGGGGTCGCTATGGGGAACGCCTCGTCGTGACCCGTGTCTGAAGCATACATTGAAAAAACACCAACTCGTTGGCCGGCGACAGCCATGACGTCACTACCGGTGCGACTACAGTATAAAGCGGTGCCGGGAGCTACACATCATTCTCTTCTTCGTCTTCATTGACTGTTCTGTTTGAAGCGTGCATTTTCAAGGAAAAAGTAAGAGCTATCTATTAATATTATGGCGAGCACTAGTAGAGCATTTAGAAGGTGTGTGCATCCGTGGCAGCGCTATTTGACACCAGATGACACACACGATCTATGTGTTGTTTGTTTGGGCGAGGAGCACGCACGCGATGTCCTCGAGGGGGCAATCTGCGTGCATTGCGAGTTTTTTCCAATGAAAAAACTCCGTTCTCGTTGGTCTCTCTTTTCAAGTAAAGAGGGGCAGCCATCTCTCCTCTCACTTGAGAAGGTTGAGTTCTCTGTTTCTCCAGAGCGCCTGGATCCAGCAGCATCAGGTGAATTAGGCCATTCCTCTGCCTCCCTGATGCGCTGAGTGTTTGGATAGATTGCAGTATGCTTACCCCTCTGATTTTACAATCATGCTGCAGGTCGAGCCCCCTCTTGTTGAGAGCTGGGTTTGTGCTCCCTCAGCCAAGGTAAACTACTCCTAGCGTTCCAGCATTGGAACGTGCTGTAGGTCGAGCCGCCTTCTCGACTGAAAATTAGGTGTGTTGCTCCCACAGCTAAGTAAACTATTGCTAGCTGTTCCAGCTTTGGAACATGCTGCAGGTCGAGCCCCGTCTCGGATTGAGAACTGAGTGTGTTGCTCCCTCAGCTGAATAACTGCTAGCTGTTCCACCATGGGAACATGCTGTAGGTTGAGCTCCCTCTCCATTGAGAGCTGGATGTTGCTCTCCCAGCTACAGATTTACTGCTAGCCACTCCAGCATTATAGCCGTAGATATAGCGTCTGGGGATACGCTATTTTTATCTATGGGCTGCTCTTTCAGGGTGCCACGAGAACCCCTAGAACGGTATTCAAGTGTGTGCACGTTATGCTTTGCCCACTTTTCTAAAATCCACATAGCTGGTAAGTGTGCACGTTATGCTTTGTCCACTTTTCTAAAATCTTAAGGTTCCCAAGAGCACAGTGGCCTCCATTCCTTAAATGGAAGACGTTTGGGATGACCAGAACCCTTCCTAGAGCTGGCTGTCCGGCCAAACTGAGCTATCGGGGGGGAAGAGCCTTGGTGAGAGAGGTAAAGAAGAACCCAAAGATCACTGTGGCTGAGCTCCAGAGATGCAGTTGGGAGATGGGAGAAAGTTGTAGAAAGTCAACCATCACTGCAGCCCTCCACCAGTCGGGGCTTTATGGCAGAGTGGCCCGACGGAAGCCTCTCCTCAGTGCAAGACACATGAAAGCCTGCATGGAGTTTGCTAAAAAACACCTGAATAAGATTCTCTGGTCTGATGAGACCAAGATATAACTTTTTGGCCTTAATTCTAAGCGGTATGTGTGGAGAAAACCAGGCACTGCTCATCACCTGTCCAGTACAGTCCCAACAGTGAAGCATGGTGGTGGCAGCATCATGCTGTGGGGGTGTTTTTCAGCTGCAGGGACAGGACGACTGGTTGCAATTGAGGGAAAGATGAATGCGGCCAAGTACAGGGATATCCTGGACGAAAACCTTCTCCAGAGTGTTCAGGACCTCAGACTGGGCCGAAGGTTTACCTTCCAACAAGCCAATGACCCTAAGCACACAGCTAAAATAATGAAGGAGTGGCTTCACAACAACTCTGTGACTGTTCTTGAATGGCCCAGCCAGAGCCCTGACTTAAACCCAATTGAGCATCTCTGGAGAGACCTAAAAATGGCTGTCCACCAACGTTTACCATCCAACCTGACAGAACTGGAGAGGATCTGCAAGGAGGAATGGCAGAGGATCCCCAAATCCAGGTGTGACAAACTTGTTGCATCTTTCCCAAAAAGACTCATGGCTGTATTAGATCAAAAGGGTGCTTCTACTAAATACTGAGCAAAGGGTCTGAATACTTAGGACCATGTGATATTTCAGTTTATCTTTTTTAATAAATCTGCAAAAATGTCAACAATTCTGTGTTTTTCTGTCAATATGGGGTGCTGTGTGTACATTAATGAGGAAAAAAAATTTACTTAAATGATTTTAGCAAATGGCTGCAATATAACAAAGAGTGAAAAATTTAAGGGGGTCTGAATACTTTCCGTACCCACTGTATATATAATACCTTGCTACGTGTACTTAGGCTAACCAAGACTTGTCATTTGCACTTACATATTGTTGCTCTTTTGTTAGTTTTGATTGCTATTGTCCTCATTTGTAAGTCGCTTTGGATAAAAGCGTCTGCTAAATGACTAAATGTAAATGTTTAATGTTTTGGCTTGAATAAAAATGTGATGTTACTGCATGAAACACGGTTTTAGATGAACATTTTTTTGTGTACGTCCATAAAGTAATTTCTGCAAAGCCAATGTTTCTTTCTCTCTTTACAAACAGTAGTCTAATTAAAACTAGGCTGTAAAGTTATTTGTTGATCCTGACATTGGGACAACTCCATTGTAAATACATGCAGTTTAGGATGATGTGTTTCTGCATTTCTGAAGACAATTATTTATTAATGTGTTTATTTATTTATTTTATTGTTTAATTTTCCCCACCATTTATGCTTTAATGCCTGATATGAAATATCATTATATTATTATTATTATTATTAATGGAAGAGCTTATTGAACCTTTAGACAAACAAGAAATTAAAAACAATATGGAGACCAGACCTCCAAAACAGGTCAATGTATTTTTTTTGTTATCAGGCAGAAACAATAGAGCATGTTTTAATAAAATGTAAAAAAAAAAATTGAAAAAGAAAGGTTAAAACTTATTAAGGAAGTAAGAAACATGGGTGTTGAATCATTTAATTTGTCAAGCCTTTTGAAAGAGCATGCAGAACAAGGTAAAATATATGGTGATATTGTTAAATACATGAAAGAAATAGGATTAATCAGGAGAATTTAGGATTTATTTTGTGGTTTATTTATTTATATATATATTAGTTGCTTATTAGTACTTCACACTCCAGTCCAGTTGGTGGCGGTAAATGCACCAGAAGTTGGTTTGCCATCCGCCATAAAACGTTATTAGAAGAAGAAGAAGAAGACCTCCAGTTTCCCATAATCCTCCTCTCCTCAGTGCTTCGGGAAGCTGTATGTGTGCGGAGTTTACGCTCTCTCGCAAGCACCATGACGGCGGCTAAGAGGAAGACCGCTTTGCAAGATTTTTGCATGTGATTAGGAGGTTCTCTCCAACAGTCTGTGAAACTGGACTTGACGCATCTTTCATTTTCGGGTAAAGCGCTTGATTGTATTTGTTTACGGCTTCTTCAGCAGCAGTTTCAGCGGTGTCGTTATGGAGGCTTGTGTTATCAGTGTAGGCCGCGCGGCTCTTGCACGGCTCTTACCGCGTCTCTCTTCTAATGAATGACAGCCTGAAACACGCTAATGATTAGAATTCTCCTTTTTTTGGGTGAAATCTCGCATTCCGTGCTAGTAGCTGTAACTGTGATACTGTTAATGCACGTTATAGAGAGAGGCAGGCCGTCGCATTTGTACAAATGTGAATAATGTAATGCTTGTGCTAATGTTTACAATGTTCGGGGATAGCATTTTTTTTCCAGACGTGGAAAAGTCACGGAAATGTAATAAATTGGTAAACATCATGGGAATTTGTGTGGTGGTAGTAAATTGGTCTGCATGGAGGATCGGAAAGCATAATCATCCATTGGGCTGCTTATAAATATCAAGCTGTTTTTGAGACTTTGGTACACAAATAAGTAGAATATCATTGTGTATTTTTTTTTAATTGTAGGTATTGGTACCTGATATAAATCTTCCTCTCTTTATAGTAGTTTTAAAAATACATTTGCAGTGATAATAAATGGCTGAAAATGTCATGGACGTTCATTGGTCAGGTGACAAGTGTGGGAACCCACTCAATGAAAAACATAAAATACATAATCAGTATTTTATGCTGTAGGCTGAGGCCGAGACCGAGTCCAAGATCATATTGTCTGATGGAATTGTATATACCCTAAAAATGCAATGTAAGTCACCAAAGCATCTGCCAAATGCAAAAATGTAAATGTCTTGCTCTTGGTCGAGACAGAGTCCAAGACCATATTTTCTTGGTCTTGTCATGGAACTTGTGGAATTGGTCTTTACTTAAACTCAAAGCTCCTTTGGTCTCAGTCTGGACTGAGTGGGCTTGACTACAACACTGCATACAACTTCATCATGCTGGCGCCTTTGATTTGCTGTTTTTTTGACACAGCCCTGCAGAATGTCCAAAATCAGGCGGAAGGTTACAGTGGAGAATTCGAAGACCATATCGGACAGCAGCAGTAGCACGACCACCCCCTCCCGCAGGCCCAGCGTGTTTGAGAGACTCGGACCCAGCACGGCCAGTAATGCAGCAGAGGTAGGGATACTGGTCACCCACAGTGGTGCTTTGAAAGCCTAGTGAGCTGCCTAACTAGACCGTATTACCCGTACATAGGTAGTAGCTCACTTTCATTTTGTCAAAGTGCTTTTGTAAAGTGTATAAGTGCAAAAGAATGACCCCCATTTGCCTCCCCTGCAGACTCATTGTAGAAACTGGTTAAAGACTGGGAACTGCAGTTACGGTAACACGTGTCGATACACACATGGAACCCCATCACGAGGAAAAGGCTTCTCTGGAACATTCAACAGGTGCGATTATAGTGAAGAGATGCTGTTTTATAAGTGTACCTGCTCCAATACCTGGCTGAGTGCTTGACTTTCGACATGTATTTTTGCTGTGCAGGTCAGCTGAGAGGCACACTGGGGATCTCCGGGAGAGGATGAAGAATAAGAGACAGGATGTAGATGGTGACACTCAGAAAAGAGATACAGACGAGCCCACTTCACCCATAACCAGAGTACGACGCTCTTACAGCTTGGAGCTAAAGTTTCATTACTGAGTTTTGCATTTGGTGATTGATGTCTTTGACTTTGTTTTTCTCGTTAGCAGCGAGATTCATCCCGAGGCAGACGCAGAGAGAAAGAGGATATTAAAATCACAAAGGAACGCACTCCAGCTAGTGAGGAAGAGACCGCAGATTGGGAAGCCAGTCGTGAAGGTGAAAGATTCTCAGAAGTACCTGCAAAATTGATGTATATGATTAGAAGTCATTTAAAGGAATAGGTCACCCAAAAATTCAAATTCTGTCATTAATAACTCACCCTAATATCGTTCCAAATCCAGAATGTTGTTAATCTTCAAAGCACAAATTAAGTCTTCCTTTTCAATGAAACCTGTGAGATTTCTGTCCCTCCATTGAAAGTTCATTCCACTAAAACTTAAAAAGTTAATCCAAGTGTAATTAATACAAGTCTTCTGAGAATACATGATCACTTTATATGAACAAATTACATTTAGTTTTTAAATTTGGAACTACATGAAGGTGAGTAAATGATGACCGAATTGTCATTTTTGGGTGAACTACCCTTTGAACTTGTTTTTAAAAGCAAACAAGGATGATTGATGTTTGGGTTTTGAATGCAGTACAGTCTTTCCTCTCTCTTTCCTATTTTCCTACTCCGAATCTCTGAATGCTGTGCCATCTTTTTCTCTCTCTTTCCTATGTTGTCTCCCTGTCAGTTTTAGTCCAGCAGTTTTATATGTGCCATTGATTTTACTAGATTCCGATAACGGTGATTACGAGTTATCTCTTGAGATGAAGAGACAGAAGATTCAGCGAGAGCTGATGAAGCTGGAACAGGAGAACATGGACAAACGAGAAGAGATTGTCATCAAGAAAGAGGTATATTGCATAAAATTACATTAGTTTTTGCTGCATAAACTCCAAATATTGAAAAAGTGAATGTCAGTTATCCTAAATTTATCAATACAGAGAGTAATGGCACGTATATTCTCAACAGGACCCAGTCCCTAAGACCAGGACGAGTAATTCTTCAAAGGATAGGGTAGGTTATTTTAGCAAAGACATACGAAAGTGAACAGTAATTGAGATTTTAGGTATTATATAGCCTTTCAGTACAGACTGTTATCTCTGGGTGGTCTCTATTTTGGTGTGGTCTTGATCTGTTTTAGGCTTCCCCTGAGCGCAGTAGTTCTAAGGGGTCACCCTCGTCGCGTAAATCCAGCTCACCCAAACATAGAGCAGGAAAGGGTGGGAACTCCAGCAAGAAAGAGAAGAAGTCCTCCACTTCCTCAGTCATCTCCTCTCCAGTGTCTGACCAGACCAGGGCAGAGGAGACAGACAGCAGGTTGGAAAATGATCAGCATTTAGTTTGAACATGTGTTTATCAATTTAAATACTTGACTACTGTTTAATTTTTTGACCAGGTCATCTAAGAGTGGCCATGGCAAAAGAAAAGGGCCACGAACGCCCAGTCCTCCACCACCTGTCCCTGTGGAGAACCCAGTGACTGGGAAGAAGCACAAAAATAAACACAAGAACAAGGAGAAATGTGAAGACAAACTTAAAGAAGGCAAAGAACGAGGACGAGATACGGAGAAACACAAAGAGAAAAAGGAAAAACGCAGGTATAGTCACCTTCAAAAGAAATCCACAAAACTTCAAGTATCATTAACTAGTGTAATTTGGTACAAATTTTGTACTATTGCAAAAATGTGACTATTCCAGTCTTTCTAGTTTATTTGGTACCCGCTAAGAGACGGCTGCTTTGAAATGTTCCTTTGCATATTTATGTTTGCGCTGAAGTGACGTAAGTTTCTATTTACAATGTGCTTTTGCAGGGTTGAGAATTTTGGCCAATCTGAGATTGAGAGAGATTGTGCTCCACTACTTTTTGCTATGGTACTGAAATTGGTACAGAGACTACTGGTGCCAACTACTGAGATTTTGGAATCGTGACCGCACTAATAGATTGTCATAATGTATAATATTTGCTAATATTGGTGGTGCTGGCCTAGGTACTTTTGATCATCCCTGTTTTATTGGTCTATGTGAAAACAAATAATAAAACAACATAATAATCTTTAACCTTTCCTTCATTGCAGGGATCGGTCAGATAGTTCCCATAAAGCCAAACGCTCAATAACATCAGCGGAACGTTCTGGAAGTCTTTCCCCACCCTCCAGGGAAGTGTCACCCCCAGCCAGAAGGAGGTCATCCTCCCCTAAATCCACTTCCCAAAAACAGTCCTCGCAGCAGAGGTGAGAAGAGCTGCACTTAAATAATTATATGTTAATCCAGTATCTCACAGATTAGGGCAGTGTCACATTTGACATATCTTTGAGATATCCATGAGTTTTGAAATAATTTTATGAGTTAAAGGGCCAAATCATCAGTCAAATCCTTTTTTTAATAAATCATTCAATTCTAAAACTTAGTGTGTGTGCGTGTATATATGTGTATATATGTGTATGTGAATATATATATATATATATATATACATATATATATATATATTTATATATATAAAACCC